GTGAAAATTTTGTTTTTAAACAGAACGCAAACAAGCGTGCCTTCAAAATATTAACGAAGCCTTCAGGCAGCACTACAAACCATTACCTTATTGTGCTGGAAAAAATTACGCATCACATCGCGCCATATGCATGTCAACCTCGTGCGTTTTGTTTTAACAACAAATTTTTCCAGTCCATCTACTGATGCGTCAATAAATTGCAACAATAAAAATTGAAGGCAAAGCAGAGTTGTTCGACCAGGATCCTGTTGCAGTAGCACACAACATGTTTGCATTAGTGGATTCATGGTAGAGGACTAAAACGGTGGCAGAGAATTTGTTAATTTGGTTTTTTTCCTGCCTCTTCTCGACAATCTCACAAACATCGACATCAACGATACATAATAATTTGCTGCATTCTTTCCATTTCCAAAACATACAATAAACGCTCGGAAGATAAGACGCCATACACTTATCATGTCTGCGGTTCTTTGCTACAAAAAACAAATATTTCTTACAGCTACCTACATAGAAATGATAATAGAATAGATTTTAAGCTTGCAAAATGTGATATTGACGGCTTTAAACAATCAAATTACTCAGCTGTAGCACCATCCACCATATATATGGTAAATTAGCTGCAATATTCATTATCGAAAATCAGGTACATCATGATCACTTTACGAGGCACCACTTGAGCACATTTAGCGTCGTGTAATGTACAAAATGTGATATTGACGGCTATAAACAATCAAATTACTCAGCTGTAGCACCATCCACCATATATATGGTGTATTAGCTGCAATATTCATTATCGAAAATCAGGTACATCATGATCACTTTACGAGGCACCACTTGAGTACATTTAGCGTCGTGTAATGTTACTTTAAAAATTGGGACAAAAGCCGCTGAGCAGTCGCTATATGCAGCACTACAGACAAGATTAAGTTCTTGTTATCATCTTTGTTTAAAACAAGAGAATATTCGAACCTGCTGCCACGATGGACACAGAAGCGTGCAGCTGGAAATAACAGGAACAACCGTCGAATAAATGGGGAAGGCCTTAAAACTGACAGTAAGTCGATTTTTTAATTTTAAACGTGGCGGAACAGAAAGTAAGTGTGATCGAAAAAGTCAAAAAGAAAGGACATGTCAGCACAGAATGAATGTCAGTATTGTTTCGACCTTAACCAGCGCTATTTAGCCGTCGTATCAGGCTCATTAACTGAAAAAGATTAACTGAAAAGGATCATCTTTTTTTAGTTAATGAGCCTGATGCGACGGCTCCGTGTGGAATCATATTATGCCTTCTGCTCCCTTACAAAAGTCTACAAGCGGGCACCGTCGCCGTCTAAACCCAAACTGACGATGTGGGTGCGCATAGAGACGAGAACACCCTCACGATGTTGACTACACTCGCGAATCTCATGTAAGCGCTCGAGACGGCAGATCGACGATGACGGGTAACTGCGGGCGCTACCGACGGTAGTTTCTTACCATTCGGACGTGGCATAGAAAGTGCAACAATGTATGACAATACTCTCGGATACAATATGCCGTGATAACCAATTGCACGCGGACATGTTTGCATAACGCAACTTAGTGAATTGCTGTTACAGCAATCTGAGTTGCTGTAAGCTGATGTGTGCCACTTAGCGCGCGCTGATCAACAGCGCTTTAAAGGCACTGATCCCCCAACAAACTTTGATGGTGCGTAATGGCCCGTGCCACAATGCAGAAAGTGCGTATATAGGGCTGCATGCACCGGACAACGTCAACGCAACCATACATTTCGACAGTTAAGAAATAAAACTGTTCATGGTCTTATTTCAGATTTTGATGTCGGGGGTTGCAAGTTCATGCGTCAAGTAAATATGGCGCAGCGTTACGGTTAGTTTGCATTGGAGAAAGGCGTCAAATATGAGATGATATTAAACTATCGGAGTGGCACGGTAGAGCGCTACTATCAGACACTTGTGGACATGAATCAGATTAAATGAGCCTCCTTCGACCACACCATGGGTTATCTACTACACTGCTTAAAACTATTGTCAAGGCATCGTAAAGCTTGACACTTTTCACTGCAGATTACTATCTACAAGACTATGGCCCAAACAATTCTTGGTGACTGTAACGGGGCATTAGTAGATTGTGCTGTGTCTGTACAAGTCCACCTGAGCGGACTCATCACAAGTCCACTTAAAAGAAAACATTGCAAGTCCTCTTGAACTGACACAGTACAAGTCCACTTGATCTGACATAGCGTAAGCAATTCCGCGCGTTTCTTCACGTACAAAGTTCATGCAGAGGAAAACTTAATACTAGATACATGCCTTATAGAGGTAGAAAGTAAAAATTTAATTAATTCTTTTTTCCTACCCACTAGCCTATCTTTTACTTCTAACTTAGCTACATGCGAATCTACAAATATGCAAAAAGAAACCTTGCTCGCTACTTACTGCGGTGTCATTATTATGGACCGCTGGGATGGCCGATGAATTTACCTACAATATCCAGTGGGTCAGTGCTTCTAAACAAAACATTTTTGAGCAATATCCTGAATAAGAGCTTTTATGTGTTTATTATATGTAATAAGCTTACCCCTTTACAGTAAATATATCAGATGTGTGCCTGTGATAAATTGCCTTTGTTGAAGGCACAGAAGCACAAAATGTTGTTAACATTGTGCACTGCGCGTTTTCGATCTAAAATTTACGTTGATAATTATTTACAAAAAGAAAGACACTCTTCAAGCCGGTTCATTTATTTAATTAAACTTTTTTGGAGCTTGATATAATTCAAGGAGAGACATAGTGACGCGAAGTCGTTGCAGCCATCCTTGACGAAACACAGCTCGAGTAGCACGCTCCCGCTGCAGCCTAGGCAAACCAGTGCATTAAAAGATTGACTAAAATCGAAGGAAAAGAACAGTTAGAACGCAAAATAAAAATTTAGCAAAGTTATGTCGCTAAAAACGAATTAGACAGCAATTAATACTAATATGTACCCAACACCGATGTTCTAAAGTGGTTTTTTTTAAAAGCGCGCAATGGGCTTCCGAAATACTCACTGTGACGGACTGCCCATTACGGGATGGGTACCCTGAATCCTCATATAAACCTTGACTCATCCGGTGTACCCTTCGGCTGGTAAGTTGTATTGTTCGGTAGAATAGGAAGAAGAGGAAGATGTTGTAGCTTTGTAAAGGGTGGAAATGTGGCCTCGAGTGTGTATGCTTCATCTTAAAAGCCAATGGGTGTATCCTCGGTAGACTTGGTCGAGACAGCACTTTTAGCTAATTACTCAAGAAGCTTGTCGCCCCTGGTCTTTGCCTTGCTCCCTTACCGCTAAATAAGGAGGCCGCTTCCGACAGCAGAAATTGAACCTTTTTTGACGAACACACACGCCAGATTATTCAGAGGGTCCCACTCGTACTTGATCCGACCTCGCTATTTCTCAAGCGGGGGTATACCCTTTCCCCGGAACATACGAGCAGGCAGCGCCGCTTTTTTTATCACTACGAAGAAGCGCCCCTTAATTTTCAAGTCATTGGTATTTAAAGTCCTCCCCTCCTTTAAATCCTTTACACTATCCTTTCCTTGTGAGATGATCCGTTATATGACTGGATAGGAGCAGCCATATATTGAAGGACGTAGGTCTAACAATGAGGGACCGGGTCAAGTGACAAGAGATCGACGCCCATCAAAACAGGATTATGGGTTACCAATTTGGAAAAAAAATGAGTAGAGCGATGGAAAACCGTGTCACCTATATGGGACAGCGGTCTACCATTCTAGGACCGTACACACTGATGAGATTCCGTAGTCATCTTCTTTCAGTACTGCTTAAACGGTTCCCGGGTAACGATCTCCTCCTTATTTAATTTTACGAGTCCCACTGCCCTAGAGGTCCATCCAAGTTCCTTGACCCCTTCTTCTCGGGCAATCTTTCTTCGAGAGTGGCCACTTGTCTCTTCATCGCATAGCTGCGTTCAATATTTTTAATAAGCAAGTGACCACACTAATACGAGTCGGCACTTTAGGAATGAAGATAATCTGCTAATTGGCACTCAAACTGAACCTCCAATTTTTCGTTAGCAGAAGAATTAAAGGCTAAATTGTACAAGGTCGATATTGTGCGACTCCTCGCGAGCGCCAACACAAACAAGCAAGTATTAAAGATGAAATTTTCTCTACTTTGCCCCCATTCTAGCTCCCAGCGGTATTATTTACGGCAACCTTTACCGGAATGAATACATTCTCAATTATACAGACGGCAAAAAAGCAGCATCTCGACGTAGTGACTATTTTGTCTCGTTTAACATGACCATGAAGAACAGTGTGCTGATTGTTTAGCCAATGGTAACGACTGAGTATACAGAAGAGAAGTAATTGTTGTTGAAAAAACGCCTCTGGCAAAAACGTTATACACTTAAGGTGCACTCAGACGTTTTTATAGAACGACGTATCGATAAACAACGCGTGATTGTGTAGTTCAAGAATATAGTAGGGGTACCATCAAAATGACTGAGAACTGAAGACCTACATGTATTCACTCTGCAATTTGCCAACCATCGAACACTCGACATTTCAAAAGGTTCTAAGCCCAATGCCTGTCGTTACTGACGCCGGCACCAACTTCGCCCTCGCCATAAATACCTCCGCTCCCAACCGCATCAACAAGCTCGACGGAACATACGTCCACACGTGGAAGCTATATATGCAGATGGTACTAGAGGAGCGTGACCTGTAAAAAGTGGTGAGCAGAGAGATCAAGAGTGAACAGTGCGCCACGCAGTTTGATCAGGCGAAGTTTAAGCGCAATTCCAGCAAGGAACTGATAACAAGATGTCTCGCTCTAAATGATCCCCATCTGCCGTTAGTCCGGTCAGCGAGTGGAGCGCATGATGCATGATCGCAGCTGGAAGGGCATTTCGAAAAGAAAAGCCTTGCAAACAAGCTCTCACTTCGTCGATGATTCTTTACGGCTATGATGGAAGAATGAGAATGAGTGTTGGGCATATGAACAAGATCAAGATGCTAGTGGAGCAGCTCGACGCAGTGGATGCTCTGTTCATCGAAAACGACCCGTTGAATGCGCTCCTCTCAAGTCTCAGCGAGTAGTACGAATTCCACATCACAGCTTTAGAGTCAAGATCCGACTCGCTGTTGTCGAAGTTTCTCACTTCTCAGCTGCTGCACAAAGATTCAAGCAGGTAGAACAAGGCTTTAATGTAGCGGCTAACGGCTAAGGTCAAGCGTTTTTGACCCAAGACACTGGTCGGAGCACTGGGTGATATGCGTCAGCAAAAAATTGGCAGTGCCTGCGATTATTGTGGAGAGCACGGAAAGTGGATTGCCAAGTGGCCAGCTTGGATATTTTAGATTGCAGAAATGTAGTGGTTGCAGCGTGCCAGCATTGCGCAGAACAACAATGACCACGGCGAATACCTGTTTTCGATTAAACAAGTCGCATGCTCTGCCTAATCAAGATGCGTGTGGCTGGTTGAATCGAAAGAACACAGTGCATAAAGTTTTGGATAGAGTTAATGAAGAAATACAAGAATTTAAGCCCTGTCGATACACATCTTGCAGACGACGGTGTAGTTCAAGCGGTTGGGATGGGTGACATAATCGTGTCGATGAAGACGCCACATGGATTGAAGAAGGGTGTGCTTACATCAGTATGACACATTCCTAAACTGTCATACAATTTGTTCTCATGGGATTCACCAAGGATGTTGTCCCGGTATTTCCGAGAAAGATGGGTGTTTTTTTGCAGCGAAAATCCTCTTGGAAGCTTGGTACTCGTGACAGCATATAATAATTAGAGCTGCGGATGGAGCCTCTTTTGGTGGACGAAGCCAAGGTGACTAATTTGATGGGATGTCATGGGGACACCACTTCGTCTGGCACCAAAAACTAGGTCACATTGGATATAAAGGTCTTCTTACCATAGTCACCAAAGAAGTTGAGACTGGTATTAAGTTGACATAATGGCGCAAATGGGAACTGCTTGATGGCTGTAAACATGTTAAGCAGACGCGGATGAAGTTATTAAAGTGTTCCGTAAACGTGCCAAGTAAATGCTCGAAGTACCCTACAATGCCATTTGTGGTCCTGTGCAAACCGCAACATTCAGTGGCAAGCGCTCCCTTGTCACATTCATTGACGAAAAGATGCATTGATAATTTATCTACCTGCTGAAGAAATATTCTGAGTTAGATAACTAATTCAATAATTTCGTTGCGATGGCCGAAAACCCACACCAGCGTGCGCGTGAAACGCTTAAATGACAATACTGCTGTTGTGATGGCCAAGGTCTGTGCAGTAAGCGGAATTGTACAAAAAACTTAAAGCTATTTATAGCTGAATGGAGTCGATGAGCGCATGTCCCGCACACTGGTCTAATTTGGTCGCTGCATGATGGAGTACGCTTCTTTGTTGAAGTAATACTGGGAAAAGATGCCATGACAGCGACATTTCTAGCAACCAATTTCCATTACTTGCGGTAGGTCATGACATGTCACCGCACTAAATTTAAACTAGCCTGAAACATCTGCTAGCGAATATGAAGTCTTTTATCTTTTTATGCGTTCTTCCAAGTGCCCAAGCAAAAGCGGTCGAAACTTGACGCTCGCTCGGTGCTCTATCTCTTGCATATCCCGAGCGTACAACGATTACTAATTCAAAGACATTGATAACCGTCGTGTGAGAACAAGTCGTGACGCGCGATTCTTGAAGGGCGTCTTCGATCACTTGAAGCGCATTCGCACAGTCGTCTCTCGAGATTTATCGGTCGTCGATAAAACTTTGTCCTAAACTGATGAGACTGACCAAGACACTAATGACGCTTCGTCTGATCATGGTTCTATTTCAAGGTGCCCCTAGAATTGACGTCCTTAATCCCCAGTGGGCTTCAACTTAGAGCCTGGTAGCAAGTGGCATCAACTTTATCAGTTACATGATCGGGCAGTGCAGATTTTTAAGCTAAGAAACAAAGTCTTCACCGATTTCTTAGCGCTATGTTCGGGACGGCTTAATATATTAAGCTGCAAAAATTGTTGATTCAGTGGGGAAAATGTTGACTACGTTGTGTCGGAGATTTAATAAAGGAAAGCAGCCTACTGGAAGGATGTCGGTAACAGCGAAGTGGCATCATTGCGCAATAATAAGGCTTGAGAATCAGTGCCGCTTGTAGAAGGTCGCAAGGCAATCAATTAATTTTTTGAATCAAGTAGAACCAAGCTGGCGAGATCGAGTAATACAAGGCTCGACTCAAAAGCCATTTTTTGCAGAATAATGGTGTTGGCTCCAAAAAACATTTGCACCGGTGGCCAAGTTCGCGCCGATCCGGATCCTGCTTAGTTTTTGGCTATTAACGAGATGAAGGTCTATTAAATGTATGCCAAGGCAGCCTTCCTTAACGTACTTCTTGACGGAGACAATTACATGGTACCTCTTGACGGATACATTGAAAATGTTAAGCCGGACTACGTCTGCCAGCTTGAGCGCTCTCTTAACGGTTCAAAGCAGTCCCTGTGCATGGAGAATTACACCTTTGACAAGTTCATGCTCTAGATGGGCTACAAGAAGTGCACGACCTGATCACTATGCGGACAATTCGAAGTGACATACTTTGGCCGGCAGAAGTACTTCTTTAGCATGATAATAGATCAAGATGTCATCAGTGGCAAGTTTCAGTTCTTCAACCAAGTTTTCCACTGACATACTGAAGAAGCTCGGCATGTAGAACATCAACCTCATCAAGACACAGCAATATTCCGGACTTAAGTTGAACAAGAGCATGCGAGGAAGAGGATGCAAACATAAAGCAAAAATGGCACATGTCTTATATCGTAATGCTGTCGGCAGCCTCATGTATCTGACAAGTGATAATCGACCGGATATGCTGCTACAGTGACAGTTCTTATTCATTTTTCTTCAGATACGTGCTCTATACATTAAAAGGTAAACAAAGAGTCTTCAAATACGTACAATTTTACAAAGATCAGGACATCAATTTTTAAGCTAAGGTTCATAAAGGACTGAAGGCTATTCGGATGCAGACTGGGCTGTCAACGTGGACACTTGAATTATCACAATTAGATTAGCTTTCAAGACGAATGGCGAATGCATCAGCTGGAGCAGCGAGACGCAGCGTACGATAGTGCTGTCATCAACTGAAGCGGAATTGATGGCGTTAGATGAAGCTTTTAAGTAAAAAAATTGGCTGAAGGCGTTCCTATGCGAGCTTTATAATGTCACTTAACAGAGCGTTCAAGATTCATGAAGACAATCAGAGATTAACTGCCTTGGCCAAAATTTTGGAAAACCACAAGTGTACAAAGCACATTGATTTTCGCCATTATTCCGTGCGGGAGAAGGTCGAAGACGGTCAAGAGGTGCTGCAATACTACTCGACTGGGGACATAGGGGACGCCTTCATGGCCAAATCAATGAGCGCAATGCAGTTTGAAGGTCTTCAACAAAGAAAGGGGGGCATGGCACCAAGGTCTGCCGGGTCAAGTTGGATTGTTGTGGAAGAAACGCCTCGGCCAAGAAAGTAATACAATTTAAGGTGCGTTTCGATGATCAATCATGCACGACGTAGCGATTTGTAATGCACAACGTATCGATTAGTAATGCGCGATAAAGAGATCAAAATAGTGGAATTGAAACAGTCAGTAGGATTAGGCTGTTAATAGAATGCTAACTACGGACCTAAATAAATTCACTCTGCATTTTCCCAATCATCGAGCACTCGACCTTTTCAAGAGTAATGTCATCATACTCGCCGTTTAAGAGAAGGAACACTACTTAGTAGCTAAAGATGCATTGAGTCACTCTGCTACGGTTTTTTACATTCAGAAATTTGTCATAAAGACGCAAATGAGAAGTTTAGTCGACTGCATCAAATTGTTATTTGCCATGATCTCAAGCAGTCGCATGCTGATCGACTTGCGATTCTATTTTTTTATCATCGTTGTTCGCTACTGTCGATCCTTTCGAACTCGCTTAAATGACACAAATGACGCTTTGAATTAAAGTATAGTCACTCCATGTCTATCTGTAAATGAAAATCAGAGTTCTGGATCGTAATTAAAAAAGTGAGAAAGCTTATTATAATCGGAACAATGTTCGTATCTTCCAAACATAATTCGTTGCAGAATAAGTTACATAAGTGCAATATCAAATTGGAAGCCAAGCGCATGCACCAAACTGTCCAGAACATGCCGCGAGATCAAATTTATAATATGCGTTACCGGTCACGTTCGGCTTTATACAGCTGAGAAAATCAATTATAGCTAGTCGGCAGTGAGTTAGTTATCAAATCGCGATATCAAATGGGAAGCCAATCGCATGGACCAAAGTGCCACTAACATGCCGCAAGATAATTTTTTTATCGATAAACGATCACGTTCGGGTTCATGCAGGTGACTACACCATTCACATCATACACAGGAGCCCTGGAAATGCAAATTCAAGGCAATCTTCGCCACCAAAATTATTGAAGAAGGAAACGCCTGACACGTGCAACTTTGTTGTTTTTTGCTCGCAGTGGTCCGCCTACCGTGACTTAAGCACTAATATTCGGTCTTCGCGCTCTTGTTGGCTCGAGGGTACTATAAATTAACGAAGCCAAAGACCTTGGAATTTTCTAAATATACACTACGTAATTACAAAAGCTATCTAAAGTGCACCGAATCAATAGATAAAGCTCAAACAAATAACTTGCCACTGCTCTCGACGAAGACCATGGACTGATGAACGTGAAGATGCTTATGCGCCAGCAGGGCAATAAAACAGGTTTTTTTGCCGCAAAAAGAATGCAAAGAAAATATATACAGGAACTCGCCTTTCTCATGCAACAGGAAATGAGCGGTAAGGAAGCAGCTGCAAGCAAAGAAGTGTCCAAAAATGCCTACATCGTTATTGGTTGCTTTAACGGGAAACTCGCAACTAAATCAAGCAGTAAGAGCAACGAAGGTGATGAATGGCAAAATCAAATGCATGAAAAAATCTATGTGCTCAAGTAAGTATAGTGTGACGCCAAGAGGTATGATTAAGCATAAGCAACGTTTACAGAGAAAATTAGTCTTTAAACAAGCCGGCTGCGATTA